TTAGTGCCTCTGTGCTGTCTTTCAGTCCAGCTTTGTCCAGCCACTTATAGGATTTTTTTATATCAGCCACTTCTACTATTTGACGGTGGTACATACCGTGCAGGGGTTTGTCCTTCTATGAGGGTTCCTGCTCTTCCTTCCCTTGTTCCTGTGGTTTCTGCTGCCTGAGGGATTCACTAAGCACGTGATCACTTGGGGCCATCTTCTTAATGTATTCATGGATCTTTGTTGTTTCATCCTGGATACTGGCTCTGACGCTCACTACTCCTTGGCCTCCTTCCTTCCGCTTAGCGTACAGTCTCAGGATGCTGGACTTGGGGTGAAACCCACTATGCATTGTAAGAAGCTTCCTTGTCTTGATGTCAGTGGCCTCTATCTCCTCCTTTGGCCAGCTTATTATGCCAGTGGGGTACCTGATGACCGACAGGGCATAGGTGTTAATTGCCCGGACTTTGTTCTTTCTATTCAGCTGACTTCTCAGGACTTGCCTTACTCTCTGCAGGTACTTGGTGGCTGCTGCTTTCCTTGCTGCCTCTTCATGGTTCCCATTTGCCTGCAGGATCCCAAGGTACTTGTAGCTGCCCTCAACATCTGTTATGTTGCGTTCTGGTGGTACAATCCCCTCGTTTCTGACTACCTTCCCTCTCCTTGTTACCATTCGACCACACTTATCTAGTCCGAATGACATTCCGATGTCCTGGCTGTAGATCCTAATGGTGAAGAAGAAAGCTCCTATATATATATAAAACCCCCATTTGCCCCCCACTTTTGGAGTGGTCTTATTCCTTCCTTCAAGCTCAGGTCCTCTGGTAGAGGACAGTATGGAAGTAAGCAGGATCAACTCAGGCATATGTGGATATATAAAGTCATTCAGATCCAGACACTTTCCTCTCAATGGGCTGCTGGACTTTTGCACCCTCATTTCTCTGCCAAGACTGTCTGCACACACTGGAAAAACAGTTTGAATGTCAAGAAGTATTTTAATGGATAGCCCCAGGGTCAGACTGTACTATATCTGAAAAGCTGTTGATGCTTTGATTCTGTGATCAGATTTTACTATTTAGTTTTGCATAGAAAATAACTAAGTTTGAACAAGCTTGCCTTTAAAATTGATGTGGCTCATAATTTCAGGATGTTCTAACTGATTGCACTGGCTCACATACCAAGTCAGTCAAGTTTAGTATCAGTTTCTAACTGTGATTCATTTCCTTTGGTTAGGTTCAAACTTCCTCTGTGCCACCCATATCATCCCAGTGAAGAATGAGGAGGGTGTGGTCATGATGTTCATCCTTAACTTTGATTATATCCTGGGCGAAGGCAGCAGTGACTCGTTGGAGAGACTGAACCACACTTCACCTTCCAAAGCAAACCAATGTGAGTAGAAGGCACAGGGTCCAGAGAGAATGAAGTGTGGTGCATTGTTGTTTATTACATTGTGGTTATTCCCTCATCCTCACTAAAATAACTGTGGCCATTAAGGATGTCCTGATCCAGTTTTTTCGCCCTGTATCTGCCCATACAGATTCTGATCCAATACTTACTATTACCTATAATAAGTGTTCATTAATTATCTGACATGTTGAAATTCAAATAAATCTGCCACACTATATTTTTCAGGAGATTCTTGATCCAAATACTGGATCAGGTCCTGGTTCCAAAGTATGAAGTTTAGAATCAGAATCAGCTTGATTGGCCAGGTGTGTTGGACACACGAGGAATTAGACTGGTACAGCGGCTCTCAATAGGTATGTACATATCCTCATGTAAGGCAATAGCAAAGGGCAAGTAAACCATATATAAGGCTGAGAGAACAAAGTAAAGAAGTAATGTGCAAACAAACAACGGAATATGCATTAGGAAATTAGATAAAAATAAAAATACTACTTAAAAGTAGTATACTACTTAAAAGAGTACTTAAAAAATAGAGACCTGTACATACATACATATATACAGATATATATATACGTTCAAGGATTTTATTGTTAATTCACCATATGTGCAGGACATACAGAAAATTAAAATACCGTTTCTCTCTCACCTAGTATTGGGTGCCATAACATTTAGGAACTAAAATAGAATAAAAATAGAACAGAATAAGAACTGGATTGATGTAATTAAGATAAATCTAAATTGTACAGCCAATAAGCTGTGACTGAAAACCGCGTACAGTCAGTGAAAGTAGTGCAAACAATAATAGGAGATTGTCAGATGGTTATTGCAAATGACCAACAGCAGCAGATATCTTGGCAAAAACAAACAAAAAAACCTGTCAGCAGCAGATTTACCTGAAATATAACAAAAAGAGGAATGTGTTGAGTTTGTGCAAACAGCAGGGGTAGTCTTTTTATCCCCCACAAACTCACCCACAAACTGTCCACACTGGGTCTGCACCCCACCCTCTGTGACTGGATCTTGAACTTTCTGACTGGCAGGCACCAGTCTGTCAGGATTGGCAACAGGACTTCAGCCAGCATCACTACAAACACTGGCACCCCACAGGGATGTGTCCTCAGTCCCATCCTCTACACCAGGCATGGGCAAACTACGGTCCATTAGGCTTTTTAATCCGGCCCGCCGAACTTGTCCAAATTATGTTATTGAGTTATGTTATCATTAAACTTCACTCGTTTTGCCTTTTCCCTGCAATTCCCGTGTTTCCCCGGTAGATGGTGCACTTTAGACACATTGACCTCTCTACTTCACTTTTTCACTTTGCCCTTTGACCCCTTCTGTAAAAATTAGTGGACCAAAGAAAAGAAAAGTGGACAGTGAGTGCCGAGTGTTTAATGAGGAGTGGAGAACAACTAATTGATGGCTAATTTACAGACTTAGCAAAAATGTTTAACCAACAAACTGCGATTCAAGAGTCAAGTACCAAGGCAAGTTTTATGCTGGCATTCAAATTAGCAAAGGCTAGCAAGCCTTTCTCTGAAGGCCAGTTTTTGAAAGAATGCATAGTAGAGACAGCAGGTCTCTTGTGTCCAGAGAGAAAAGGCAAGTTTGAAAAAATCAGTTAATCACACAGGACAGTGACTCACCGTTTGGAAGTGATTGACGAAGATATATCCAGTGAGTTAAACGAAAAGGTGGGTCCTTTAAGTTTTATTCACTAGCACTGGATGAAAGTAATGACCTGAAAGACACTGCTCAGCTCCTAATTTTTATCCGAGGGATTAATGACAGTTTTGAGATAAGAGGAGTTTTTGGCCATGGAGACTCTGAAAGGGAATACGCAGACCGGGTTTTTGCTGTTGTCGAGAAAATTAATCTACCTTGGAGTAAACTTGCCAATGTCACCACAGATGGATCGCCAAATTTAACTGTAAAAAACGTTGGGCTGTTGAAAAGAATCCAGGATAAAGTGAAAGAGGAAAACCCTGACCAGGATGTTATTTTTCTTCACTACATCATTCATCAGGAACCTCTGTGTAAGTCTGTGTTGCAGCTTAATCATGTTGTGAATCCAGTCGCAAAACTTGTTAACTTTATACGAGTAAGGGGACTTCAGCACCATCAGTTTATTACGTTCCTGGAGGAAACCGATGTGGATCACCAGGACTTACTTTATCACTCTCGTATCCTCTGGTTAAGTTTGGGCAAAGTGTTTCAACAAGTGTTAGCGCTCAAAGTGGAGATTAGCGCATTTTTGGAGTTAATGTGGAAATCTGATGCATTTCCTGAGATGAGCGACAAGAACTGGCTTTGTGACTTTGCGTTTGCTGTGGGCATTTTTTCCACACATGAATGAGCTGAACATGAAGCTACAGGGGAAAGATCAATATGTGCACGACATGCACACAAATGTGAAAGCCTTGAAATCCAAGATGACTTTATTCTCCAGACAAATTTCAAACAAATCTTTTGCCCATTTTCCCACACTAGCCATACAGAAAGAGGCCACCTAAAAGGTGAAGAAATACAGCAGATCACTGGACGACCTGCACAGAGAATTCTGCTGTCAGTTCTCTGATTTTGAAAAAAATGACAAGTTACTTCAGCTGGTGTCCTGTCCCCTGTCACAAGACCCTGAAACAACACCACAGGAGCTGTAATTGGAACTAATCAATCTTCAGTTTGCCTCCATTTTAAAGGAGAAGTTCAACTCTCTTAAACTGACTTTTATGCTTCACTTAACGAAGCCACATTTCCAAACCTCCAGAGGATGGTACAGAAGATACTGGAGTTGTTTGGCCCAACCTGTGTGTGTGAGCAGAATTTCAGCATCATGAACATCAACAAAGCTAGTCACAGATCCATGTTAACTGACCAACACCTCAGATCTATCCTGAGAATAGCAACAACAAAACTAACTCCAGTCTGTGATGCACTGACTAAAAAAGGAGACCAACAACACTGTTCCCACTAACTGAAGGTTTATTTCTCTACTGCGTTATGAAAAAAATGCATTTGGAGAATAATTTGTACAATAACCCTTGCGTATTCATGTTTCGCTACCTGTTAAAGGCCAAAACATTTTGTGTAATGGCTTTTATGTCATTTATATTAATTCACACAAACACTCCATCCGGCCTGGCCCCTCTGTCAAATTTTAGAAGCCATTGTACCCCACAAGTCAAAACGTTTTCCCACACCCTGTTCACTCATGACTGTGTCGCCTCCCACAAGGACATCATCCTTAAGTTTGCAGATGACACTGCAATGATAGGACGCATCATTTGCGTGGACTTACTATTCAACCACACTTATCCGGTCTGAATGGCATTCCGATGTCCTGGCTGTAGATCCTAGTGGTGTGGATCAGTGTGAATCGATCTTGTTCACTCCTGGCATACAGCTTGATGTCATCCATGTAGAGGAGGTGGCTGATAGTTGCTCCATTCCATTGTCGGTATCCATAACCACTCTTGGTGATGATCTGGTTGAGGGGGTTCTGCCCTATGCAGAACAGCAGTGGGAACAGACCATCTCCTTGGTAGATACCGCATTTAATGTTGACTTGTGCATTTGGCTTGAAGTTGGTCTCTAGGGTTGTTTTCCACATTCCCATTGAGTTTTTGATGAAGGCTCTTAGAGTCCTGTCAATGTTGTACAGTTACAAGCATTCCAGGATCCATGTGTGAGGCATTGAGTCATAGGCTTTTGTGTAGTCAATCCCGGCAGTGCACAGGTTGGTATGCCTGGTCTTTCAGTCTCGAGTGACTACTTTATCAACCAGTAGCTGGTGCTTTGCTCCTCTGGTGTTACTACCAATTCCTTTCTGGG